TTTATGCACTCTACTTTCCACCCTTCTGTGTCCGTTTCTCTGTGTGGTTGATTTGAAAAGGGTTCGCTGTGGGTTCTGTTTTTTCTTTTTTTGGATTTGATTAGTAATTGTCCGATGCCATTCTGTTATATCACCACCCATATTCTGAGTCCAATTCTCTTCTTTTCTGGTTGTATTTTGTCTTGTTTATTACTATTTTGTAATCGGCCGATGATTAAAACAATTAAGACAAGCATATGTCTAAATTAATCCGTGTTAATAAGCCTAATCTTCTCAATGAGGCGGATCATCTAGTCTAATTGTTGAAATATCTTTTGTAATATCGGTTGAAAAAGGCTTATTTGTCGACCATTTTGTTATATTGATGATCCGTAATAATGACAGTTCATCTTGTGACTCATTTTGTTATCTTGTTTATTAGTTTTGGTTTGATTAACTAAAGATTCGAATAGATTTAAGAAGTAATCGTTGTAGTGTAATAAAATTTAGATGCGGGAGATCAAAGTTGAAACTTATTTCGAATAGAAGAAGGCTTGTTTGTGGTAGTGGAAGTGATGAGAATGCTTTTGTGTCAAATATAGACCAATGCCGAAATGTGTGACCATGTATACTCTCTCATACGCAGCTTTGGTTTTTTTGACCTTCATTAATTCTTGTTGACCAAAGTATTAAGCTGCTTCATTTCTGTCTTAGCTTGTTGTACTTGAACATCTTGTAACATTTTCGCTGCTACTGCCTTTGTTGGATGGAACAGTCACAAAGTGAAGTGAATGTCCATTCTTCTTATTCAGGGGAAACACAGCTTTTAGCAACCAATGTGTATCTCTCTTGGAATTTGGCAGACTTGTATTTGAAGTGGACTTGGTATGTTCTTCTGTGGACACATTACAAGACAGTGGATGTCATTTTCACATGTTGAAATGTGTTCCCCCTGCTCATTTGATTCAGCCGGAGTAAGGACACCGAAACCCATGTAGTTGTGTTTCCATCTTGTACTGAAGTGATGTGGAATCATATAATCGTGCTCAGATTCTTTATGCATCCTATTGTGGTTTGGAATATTGTACTGCAGCTTCCCCAAACCGTTCAAAGATTGTCATCATAAACGTTTTCCAACACCTAACACCTCTTGTTTTTTTGCAAATTGTAACAGCTCAAAAACTCTTCTCTTTTTTATTTGTTGTAACTTGTAACTTTGTATAAGGAAAGCTCTTTTTTATTTGGCACTATTCAGTGAATTTTTTTGAKAAAAKAAAAAAAAAAAATTTACACAAACTGTAAATACAGTACACAAAGAATTAAAAGTTTTAATTTTGTCTT